ATAGATTTATAATTTTATTTAGTCTCAAAATACACAAAAAAAACTACTCCAGCCATTCCGATGACGGTCCAAACTGAAAATATAAGAGATGAAGGAAGAAGAAGAAGACTGTAGAGGATTTTCGCGGTGGTCCAATGTCCGACGAAGCTGAAGCTCATAATTGCACATGGAAGTCTGTTGCTTCACTGTGAATCTAAGCAGGAAGTCAGCAACTGGAAATGTTACTTATAATACGATGTGCAGAGATAAGGAGAACATGGTTCAAATATAAATTATCGAATTTCTTCATGACTTTCCATTTAAAATTAAATAACTTGACTTATTATTATTACTAGTTTTTTTTTTTTTTTTTGGTTATCCCAAGACAGTATGCACTGGTTGGAAGAATAGAACAACCCAACGTCAACGTAACGATATGCGATATGTATATGGGGTTGTAAAAAATTTCTGAACAATTAAAGTGTGAAAATTTTTTATAAAATTATTTAAATATTTTTAATTAATTAGTATATTAAAAATTTTATTAAAAGTATCTAAATAATTTTATAAAAAATTTTAATATTTTAAATAGTAAAGTGTATTGATTTTTACTTTTCTCATATATATATATGAGGGTTTATAAATTATATTTACATAAAATATTAATTATTTATTTCTCTATTTTTAATTATTGAACTTTATCACAACTTTCTATATGAAAATGATAATTATTTTTGATAAATGTAAATAAATCTTATTTATTGAAAGTGAAAAGATAAATTATGAAGATTTTATATAAGTATAGTCTATAAAATTTATATATAAGTAGATTATTACTCAATTAAAATTCACTCACACATAAATTTTATATACTACACTTTTACATATTATATTTATACAAAATTTTGATCATCAATCTCTTCATTCATTTTTAATGGTTGACACTACTAGAGGCATAATCGACAAAATTTTTTGTCGAATAAATTTGAATAAAAAGTAAATATAATTGACAGAATTATTTTGTATTAATTATAAGTGGTTTAATTAACAACATCTTTGTTGATTAGATAAGTTATCATCTCATGAGATTTATTTATTTTTTATTATATTTATAAAATATAATTATATTTTTATTTAAAAATTTTGAATAAATCTCAATTATTAAAAGTAGATAGATAAATTACCAAGATTTTGCATCAATCTGATATATGAGATCTATGTATAAGTAGATTGTTACTTATATATATTTGAGAGATTTTATTAAGGATATATCTATTGTATTATTTATTATTAATATATATAATAAAAATTTACATTAATTTTAGTAGTCATCCAATTAAAAGTATCAACATGATATGAATATTAAAATTATTTCTAAATTTTTTTTACTTTTTTCTTATAAATTAATACATAAAAATATTTTTTAATACACTATTTAAAATACAAATTAGACAAACTCTTTTGTTAATTTTATTAGTATCAATTGGGGTACTCCTCCTTTGTTCATTGTCTATTTTGTTAGTGTCATTTTAAGATGGACAAGTTTGGTTTCTTTGCAATTAATTTGTAGATCTAGTCCTTTGATCCTTTGATTGTTAGAGCTCTTACTTCCACAAAAACTATTTATTTTTCTCTCCTCTTTTTTTCTCCTTTTTTTTTTTTTTTAAAGACAGTTGACTCTTGCCCAATCTTATCCAGATAGGTTATATATAGGTAAGCACTACGAACTAAAATAACAATATATGGAGAAAATAAGGTTTGCCGAATACTAATGTCCATTTCTCCACAGTACAATGGAGCATCAAAACCAAATTATATATTGATTTGCGTAACTGCGCAAGCCCTAGTCAATTTCATTTCTTTAATTCTTAAACCCTTTTTTTTTTTAAAGATTTTTCAAGCCAAAGTTACTTTTTTGACTTTTCAAAGCTTAGTCTAAAGTCTATACTATGCAAGTCTAAGCGTAAGATCTAGTGCACAAATTGAGGTCCGTGATTTTATATTTATGTATTATGCTATGTCCATGAATCATGCCCTGTTTATTTGAGAATCTTTGAAAATATGCATAACATGACATTTCTAATGAAAAATATATCATCATATGATGACATAAGAATCAAATGACCGTATACATTAGTTTAAGATTTTATCGTTTAAATTAAATATACAAGTGTTATATTACATACATCACGAATATAAAAAATTTTTTTTCTTATACTAATATCAATACGTAAACTTTTGTCAATCAAATTTAAAATTCAAATTTTAAAGCATTATTAAATAAAATCAATTTCACTAAATACACTAAATTTATAAAATCAACAAATATGAGAAAATTTAGGTTTAGTTAATAATGCTAATTTGAAACTGTAATTATAAGATTTTTTGTTTTTTAATATATTAAAAATATATAAAATATATTCTATATATTTAATATTTTATTTTATTAATATTTTCTATATTTTTAAAATAATAAAAAAATAAAAAATAATAAAGTATCAAAAAAATGTTATCAAATGAAATGTTAGCAACAAAGTTAGGAACCGAATTTTGCGAGGGGTTCGGATTCGATTCCGGATCTGAAAGAACCCGAAAATTTTAGGCGGGTCGAAGACGACCCGACCGACTCTCACTTTCAGCCGCCACTTCAATTTGTGGTGCTCTGCTCGGTCCTAGTTTCAGGCGGGGTTTTGCAAGGGGAAAGAGGTCGCCGGAGGGAGAGTCGAAGCTTCTTCAACGATCGAAAATGGCGGACGACGACTTCAACTAATTGGACATGGGGTTCTCTTTCTTACCCTCTCTCCCCTTATGTAGTAATCGTTCTGTTTGTATCTATATTTGTAGCATTGTATTAGTCGGCGAAGTTTTGTGGTTTTTATTTGTGCTTGGGGCTGATAGGTTTCGAGTAATGAGGAAATCCTAATTCTAAGGTTTTCAATATTTCTCTGGGAATTGGAAGTGGAGAAAATTTTCTTGTAAACCTTACTTTTCTTGGCAACCAAACATAGGGTAAGATTAAGACTTGGAAATACATTGTATTGATAGTGATTGCTATGTTCTATGTATCAATTAGGGTGTTATAAGACTTGAATATTCTGCTTGTTATTCAGGTTTAATGATTAATGCATAGTTTTCTATTTTGTAGTTGATATTACTTAGTATCATATACATTTCCATCTTTACCTGTTATACTTTTCAATCTGAATGCTATTGTTTTTCAATAAGTTAATGAAGCTTCCACGAATTGTTGGTGTAGATACGAGGACAAGCCTCTAGAGCCTGAGATTGAACTGAGAATTCATTACTTTGACTACCTTTCTGAATGAAATCTTGTCTAAGTGACTGGTTATAATGCTTTTTTCATTGATGGGCAGGAGGGTGCCGAGGAGGATGTGGAAAACAACAACAATGATGATGTTCCTGTGGAACCTCTTGAACTTGATGACAAAGAAGAGCAGGAGTTGAAAGAACGGACTTTTAAAACATCTAAGTACATGACAAAATATGAATGTGCCAGAATCTTGGGTACTCGTGCACTGCAGATCAGGTTTTCTTTGTAACACCAACTTCTTTTTAGTTGTTTGTTCCTTGGATATAGGGTGGGTTATTGTGTTCAATCTAAATTGGTCTTTTTGACAGGCTACTTTCTGACTGGGCAGCATGAATGCTTCTGTTATGGTTGAGTTGGTGGAGGAGACTGATCCACTTGAGGTGAGATTATTTAGACGACTATTTTTTCTCTTCCTTCTCTGCCTCTTTATTGTCCTTTCCCTTTAAGAAATTGATATGAATAGACATTTTTAATGTTAAACCAGTTGGATCATTGCCAACAGTATTGCCCCGTTTGAGACTTAAATTCTGTATACTAATGGCTGTACAAAGTAGGCTCTGTGGTTTTCATTTGCATTCTGTGTGTCAAAACAGTCTTGTGGCCAGTTTTATGTTATTTTTATTTTTTATGCTATGGGTAACAGAATGGTGGTGAGGCGTTTAAACCTTTGTGTTTGGGACCTCCCATGTGCCAACACTTATACTTTCAAGACCAAGACCTCATTGGAACTAGTGGCTAGTTTAAGTGCATGTTAGACACAAGATTGTTAGATGATTAGTTTAAATGGAATAGGCTGGGGAGTGGAGAAAATCTGAGACAAGTTATTTCAAATCTTTGTGGTGTATTAATACATTATTGACTGAAGAATATTTTCAATGAATCTTACTATTATTCAAAATTTAGGATAAACAATTGTACGATATTGCAATTCCTCAACTGGAAAGAAAAATAACAATGATCTCACCTTTTCCTTTGTCCATTTTTTTCTTCTCTCATACCATGTTTGAGTTGCAAATTGTCCTTGTATTATGGTGTATATAAAGTCAGCAGGTCTGGTTTTCCTTGCAACTTTTCATTTCAGCTTCATTTCATTGTTACAAAGTCTGAAATCTATCACTCGTACTCTTGAATACTACTCCATATCAAACATTCTATGATTTCCCCTTGGATATTTTTGAACATGTAAGCTTGTCATTTCTTCATCTATATATATATGTGTGTGTGTGTGTGTGTGTGTGTGTGTGTTTGTTATACAGACCGATATGAGATTGCTTTTTGATTCCATACACATCTGATTTTCAAAATTGTTTTAGATTGCCATGAAGGAGCTTCGTGAACACAAGATACCCTTCACAATTCGTCGCTACTTGCCTGATGGAAGGTGAAAATTAGTTCAGAACTTTTTTTTTTGTTTTGTTTCCTGGGCTAAACACTGAGATCTTAGTGTTTCTTTTTGTTTTGTAATTAGTAAAAGAGAGTTAGGAAGGGGTCTATATAAATATTAAATAGCATTGTTCCTCATTTCTTTACTGTCTTTTCTTGTCTGTTCTAATCTTGTACAAAATGTTTCCAGTTTTGAAGACTGGGGAGTTGTTGAGTTGATTGTGGAAGACTCATGGAAAAGATAAGTTGGTAGTGATTGATGCTGTTTTGCACAGTAGAATAATATTCATATGCATTATGTTCTGCTTGGTTATCTTGTTGAATTCAAATCCAAATATGAGTAGACTGATCTGGACAAATGCTGTGATGAGGATGTTATCTTGTTGATCCTAATTGATCATATGCAACCATGCAAGAGGAGGGTGGAATTCAAAGAAAATGTTAGGCTACGTGCGTGCGCGCGCGCTACGTGTGTTTGTGTGTGTGTTAAAAACCTAAAAGCTAATTACTAAGTGCAGAATTAGTCGATTCAAGCGTGAGAAACCCAGGGCAATAGAAATTTGACAGAGCATAAGGGAGAAGAAAAGAACATGGAGGAAATTTAAGAGCCATCACAATTGCAGCAATGGAAATAATCATAAGCATTCATAACAACTGAGTTTCAAGTTTGAACGAAAACTATATGGGAAAGAAACAGTATCAAGTCTGGAGTACCCTCATACTCATCTTCAAGCAAAGACTCAGATCAATATGCAGTCATGCATATATCAAGAAGTAGTCCAGATTGATCTGAATATGTTGATATATGCAGGACTACATATTGATCTGAGCATGGTTAGACATAGTAGAGGAATATATAGCACTAAATATCGATGATCTTTTCACCAAATGCCAATGTTTGTCTCGTGGTTTCCATGCAAGGAAGATTGAGAAGAAGACAGAAGAATTGTCGACATTACTTGATGAAAGGAAAGATTAGTTTGCTGATAAGATTTTGGTTGTGGGTGACTACTCGATAAAATGGATTTGCACTGCTAGCTCCAGAAGTGCAAGGCAAGGATGCTTTAAAGGACAAATATTGAAATATCTGCTACGAGATGAATTTAGTTTAATTGGATTTTGTGGCATTGGTGGTGTTGGTAAAACAACAATCGTGAAGTATGTCTACAATGAACTCCTTCTAGAAACAAGGTTCGAGAAAATCATTTTTATTACCGTAGCCAAGGGGTGGGTTATGTCTTCAACTTACAGAAAGTCATTGCTCGAGGATGAAGATGGAGGGACTCGTGCTACTATGTCTTTTGTGGAGACTTTTTCTGTAGAAGATTCCGAAGTTCCATGTCTGGATGGAAGCGTGGTTGCAAGTCATCAAACACCAATTTCACGGTGCTCCAGGTACAAAAAGGACAACTATAAGTATTTAATTATCCAGGTCTATAACTCCCTCATAGATACTAGAACATAGTAATCACCATCAAAACAATGTATTCCCAAGTCCTAATCTTACCCTATGTTTGGTTGCCAAGAAAAGTAGGGTTTATAAGAACATTTTAGCCATCCTGTCCATCTTCAACCTTGAAAATTGAGGTTGTAGTAAATATCTATTTGAGTTGGTATTTACTAAATTGAAAACCTTAATTTGGAGTCAAGTTTAGAATATCAAACCTTTATAATGACAGATAGCTAAACCAAAAACAGAATTATGTATTAAGGGGGCCATGTCCCTCCAAAATAAAAAAATGAAAGTCATTAAAATACAAATGGCTAAACCCTCTAATGTGTCAGAAACAAAATTAGATAAATCTATTTTTGAAGACTGGAGAAGTTGGGCGCTCGAGTGGACCAGTGCTATGCATGATCATCAAGGATGGATGGAGGCTTATTACCTGCATCTGGTTGCATGCCGGTGTCATTCATTTCTATTTCTGATTATTTCAAGACCCATTCAGACTTGGCTGTGTAACGTATGTAGAATAATTTGATGATAATTCCTAAAAATCTTGTCAATTTTAAGTGTAAGAATTATTAAAAATGGTTTGACATTTGTTGCTAATTGTTATAGTTTGGCGGTGCGGATTGGAATTCTCTACTTCTTGCAAAGTTTGGTGGAAGTACTGTGCTTTCATCTCTATAGATTACCCAAAAACAGCATCTCTGTTAGTGCCTCTGGTGCTCTTTTTGGACTTCTTGGTGCAATGCTTTTGGAACTGACTACAAACTGGACTACATACACAAACAAGGTGAATGCAATGGTTGTAGGGCCAGAAGCTCATTCAACCTTCATGAACCTCACAAGTTCTTCACTGCACACCAACCCATCTCAGATCTCGCTATAAATTTTATACACTTGAAAGGGGTCCAAAGAGACAACCCTGCTTGAATAAAAAAAATGGGGGAGCCTAAACTGATGGTAGCGTTGTTGATCTTGTTCTTATGGGCAACATCTCTTGATGCTGCCACTGCCACAGATGACTGCACAGCCGTGACAGGGTTGGTCTCTACATGCGCCGCCTTCATCAACTTTGCTTCACCAGCCCCATACCTTGGTTCACCATGCTGTGAAGCCATGGTGAGCTTGAAGTTGCTTGCTGACTCTACTTATAACAGGAGATTGGTTTGTAGATGCCTGCTAAGTTTCATCAACACTTACAATCCCAATGCCACTGCAATTGCCTCCCTGCCAGGTGTATGTGGAGTCTCCTTGGGCTTCACCATTGATTCTAACGCCGACTGCAACTTGAATATTTAGAGGCTGTGCTGCAGAGATAAAGGATACTCAGTATAAAGAGAACCAAAAAATAATTTCATCTTAGGATTGTCTTTTTTGCTTTTCTATCATATTTCTTTTCATCAATAAAATTTTAGGGTGAGAGAAGATTACCCTAAACCAAGGCATGCCATTGCCACCAATTCATCAGATCTCCTATCATTTGAATCTATAATACTTCTTGGTTTTGTCTTTTTCCATCAACCCCCATCCATGGACTGTAATTAAACCCTATTTTCAAGCTTAGAGCCAATACTGGAGACAGAGACATCAAAAGATAAAGAGCATGCTCTCACAAAGTCATGATCCAATGTTTTTGGCTGTTATTTACCATCTTTATGGGGTAACACAAGTTTGTTAACTGTAGTCCTTTAGAAACCAGTTCTGAGAACCGATTAGCGGGATAGAGAAGAGAGAAGGGTAGATTGAACCTCCATGAATGCATTGATAGGGGACTTGACATGAAACTTTAAACCTTTTTCAGTTTTGAAGACAAACCTGTGTTCAAAAAGGTGAGTTGAAGTAAGCGGTAATGCATGTGAATGTAAGCTAACATTTCTAAGGTACAGACTAATTGCTTAAAGATGTTGAGTTATTTTTACGTAAAGTCATTGAGAAACAATTACAGCTCTGGCATGGCTGACAGTAGGCCACACACTGAAAGAAAACAAGCACAATCAACCTTGATTGGCAGTTCCAAGCCTGTACATGAAACTGGATACAGGATGGTAAGCCTGGTGCCTATAGTCAGCAGGTAGAGAAAAATCTCTTTCAGAATCTGTGGTAGTCCTGGCATCCCATGGATCCTGCTCGCTTCTTCTCATTGAACCATGGTTGACGAACTCGAGCCTTTGCCTTGGGGCACTCTGAGACCTATACTTGGCCCGGGATGATTCTGTGTTAGCCATGTAATTTTGGTGACCTGAGTACCCTCCAAAGTAGCCCCAAGAGCCCTCACTCCTTGTGGAAGTGCAAGGACTTCTCCTGGCACTATTTCCATGTCTTGATGATGCTGAAAGGACATGTGGACTGTTGTCTGCAGTCAATAGAACAACTTCATCTTTTTCTCCAGGGTATTTCATAGACCTTGGTGATAAAACATCCCCGGAAGAGACACTTAGGACTGGACTTGAAGCTTTTGTGGGAAATTTTCTTGGAGAGTCGAATGTCATGAAGCTGTAATTGTTATAATCTGAAGACAAACCATGCTGAGATGTCTTGAAGTTTCTGTTGCTTTGTTGGAAATTCAAATGAGGCTTCCAAGTATCTACTTCAAGGATCTTGTCACTCTTCCCATCGTCACCATGGTCATGTTGAACTAAAGCATTTCCATGCTTGTACTGAGAATTCTCTTCCATCCAACTATCCAACCAATTGGGACCCATCCTCGCTTTCTCTAGGTCATTGATGTCCCTTAAGTTTGAATTAGAACATCTCTGCATACATTGGAACGGCAAACACGCAAATTAACCCTTAATTGCACATAAGCAAGAGACAAAATGAGCTAGAAATGTAAGGATACTAAACTTTTTCACCATTTTCATGATTTTCAAATTATGCTTGCAGCTAACCCTAGCACCCAAGTTCATGTATGAAAATCAATTCCCAAGAGGCTCAATATAAAGAAGCTATTAAAGAATGTCATTCCTTTATTGATAGCCATAGTTTCACCAGAAACATAGCCACATGTTTTTTCTTACAAAACAATTCAAATATGTCAAGATCAAAATGCAATATTCAGCAATGGAATGCTGATCAAAATGAATGTACCTTAAGGATTGATGGCCCATCAAATTTGGTACTATGTGTACAAAGTTGGGATTTACATTTGACAGGGCTAGCAGGGACCTGCAAGAACAAACATATGAAAAAAATGAACACACATGAAACAAAAAATACGAGTAGACAATGACTCCTCTATGTCTATTTGATGGACCACTGAACAATGTGTACCAAACCGTAAAAAGGTTATTGCTTAATTAAAGTAATGGACCTGGTTGCTGTAGAGCTAGTTTTCGCCTTTACGGTTCAAAATCCGAACTAAAACCTAATTACATAAAACTAAGTTATTACATATTAACATGGGCATAGCTCAAACAATAGGCCATTTAAGTTACTTGAATAAAAGTGATGCTTGGCTTAAACATGATCTCTGATCTCAAGATTATGGCAATAACATCCCAACACATGGGGCAGTAAAAAGCTTTAATGCAAAGGCAATTTGGAATCAAAATGATTTATTTGCAGAACAGCCAGACAAATAAGGATTCCTTGTATAAGTTATCATAAGCTTTTGCTTCAGTAAAGTGTCCTTATTCAACTTTAATTTTGCAAGAAAAGGAAAACTGTAGAGGCAAAAACTTAAATTTCACTAGGTCAAGTAATTACATTCTCCATTGAGATTTCAACATGTATGTTAATTAGGAATCATTATGATAATGATGCACCTAACCCAACATAAGCTGGCTCTTTAAAAACAAGTTTATCAATGGGAAAGAAGATTGTCTTACACTACTGCGGGATTGGCTCAACTTGCTTCTAGAATTGAATGATTCAGTTATGTAAGCACGACTAGAACGTGCTCTGGCCTGCAGTCTGACTAATGTTTGCATGCGCCTGAGCATATCAGCAGTTTGTTTTCTCACAATGTGGCCTCTTACTAGTGCTTGAAGCTTAACCAATGCTTTCAATGCCCTTAATGCCCTCTTTGCCTAGTGGAAATGTCAGCAAAACAAACAGAATCAAGCACTGAATTGACCAAGACTAAAACCATCCAATATCAATCAAACAAACAGAAACGATAAACTTTGCAAGAAATTTTCAAAAAGATAGAATAAAAAAAAAAGGGGTTGTAGCCACATTTTTCCAGTAGTTCAAAATTATATCTGCAATGCACATCAACCCAGGAAATTAAAAGAGAATGGGACCAGAATAGAATGAACTTTGAAAAGCATCGTTGTATAGATGCAATCATATCTCCCACACATTTTTTGGCCGTATACCTCAAATACAGAATTAAATATTAAAAAAAGGGTAGGAATAGAAAAGGGAGAATAAAAATGCTTACCTAATGCAGTTGAAAATTGTAAAGTAAAATTAACAACCCGTCCCTTTACAGCTTTCCTCTTTGAAAGTTCACCAGAAACATTCAATTAGCAACCATTCCACCAAGAACTTTATCCAATTATTAATACTCCTACTTACATACCATTACCAATGGTGAGCAGAATCTAAGCGTATTACTGATACAGAATCATCTAAGTAAACCCTAAACACATGTACCAAAAATGCAGACATGGAAAGAATTAATCTACTCTTTCAAAAGATCAGTTGACTTAGAAAAGTTAATCTCATAACTCTACAACTTTAATTAATCCAGGTGAAAAAGAATCAGAATTAATTACAACCAAGTTTAGCATTTGCAAAGCCTACCACCAACTCACTAATTAATTTAATAGTCCCTTCCATTCCATCTAACCTATCCAAAAGAAGAAGAAAAAAAAGAATTAATAACATTCTACAGAATAACTTAGCCTGAAAGTTATTCCCCAGATCAATTCTCTTCTTTCCCATTTGTCATTACCAGGCAGTCAATTTTCAGCACACCCAAACATACCCTACCAGTATTTTTTGAAATTAACATTATAAAAAAAAAAATTCTAAAGAAAATATGAAGCAGCTTGAAATTTCTTTGACATGGTAGGTGAGAAACAAAGAATGTCATTGACTATCCATCCACTCAACCACCAGGTCCCAAATGAGCAACCAAAGAGCGTGGATCCATCTATTTCCTCTATAGCTAACGTAAATGCCAACCAGACAGACAAAATCTAACAACATCACACCCAGTGCGTCCATCTTCAAGCTCCTTTACAACATCCCAACAAATCTATTAATTGTACTAATAAATGGGATTTTTTTCTTATAATTAAAAAAAAATAAAAAATAACCCAGATATATATATATATAAAAGAAAAAAGCTACCTACATTCAAGGTACGAAACAGATATCATAATTTTAAAATTAATTAATTTAAAATTACATAAAATCACATATATTAAGTAGTTTAAAATTATATAAAATTTCATATGTTTCACTTAATCCTGGTACAAAACACGATACGAAACAAAAAGCCGCACAATCGGGGGAGGCGAGCCCATTATGTCTTTTATAATATTACAAAATGCTAAACTTTTATTTAAATTTTATATATAAAAAATTAAAAAATCAAATGAATACATTTAAAATTGACGGATCATGAAATAATCGTGTCGGTGGAACCTAAAATACCATTTACTTTGTTTCTTTTAATTTTTTTGTTTAATTATCTAATAAAAATATTTTTTTATTATTTTATTTTTTTTACATATCATATAACTTAAATTTAAAATTTTTACATTTCTGATGCATTAAGTCGTTAAATTCTTTCGATTTGTTATTTTTGAATATTGATTTGAGATTTGAAAAACTAATCAAGAAAAAAAAAATCAATTTGAAGAACGAAAATTCGAAGGGCATCGGGACTGCTGCGACCGGGAGGATTCATTCTCGGTCGAGCGTGTAAATCACGCGTGGCCAGGATTTGAGGTACGGTGCGGAAGCCGAGGGAAGCGACTTCCACGAGACGTTCTCTGGAAGGAACTAATGTTAAGCAAGAAAACAAACACTTACCAAGTAACCTCGAAAGGCGGATTGTATTTTGACTGCCGCCATTTCTTGTGCCAAGTGCCGGTGGCTGCCAACACGACATCCTCCGCCTCCGCCTCCGCCTCCACCAGTCGTCAGTCTCACTACCTCAGCCGCTGCATGAACCGCCGCGAGTGCTGCCTCAGCAGCAGCAGCGGTGGCTGCTGCAACAGCAATGGCGTGTTTGTTGGCATCCAAGGTGTCATCGCCCGTAACAGGAACGGAAGATTTGTTGCTTTTGGACTGCGTGGTATTAGAAGATCTGATGAAACTCCAGCGTCGCCTATCCTTCTCCGGCCGGAGATTATTAGTGGACTTTTTGATGCCGAAGAGTCGCTGGATGAAACCCATAGTTCATTGCCGAGAAAGGAGAAACTATTTCGAAGGAGTGGCCTGAGTTTCTTGGGTAAATGGGGAAATCAGCATATTTCGGTGAAGAAACTTGGAAAGAATGGCTGTGAGGAAGGGAGGGAGCAATGGAAAGAAGAAGTATAAGGGAAGTGACTTAGGGAGAGGGAGATGTGGTGGTCAATCCTGTTGTATCCAATGTAAACGCCTTTTCAAGAGCGCGTACACATCACGTTTACGTAAAATTTACAATAGAATTTTTCTTTTTATATTTTTTAATTTTAAGTTTTTTTTTTAATTAACTCAAATGTTGAGTAATTTAGAGTATGTTTGGGACAATTAGTAAGAAGTTTTTTTAGATTTTAAAAGTTATAATTGCATTAAATACTATAATTTATAAAAAATACTACAACTTTTTACAAATTAATCTTTTATTCATTTCATTGCAAATCTCACAAGTACTAACTTGATGCTTATGCAGAAGTTTTTTATTTAAATTTTAATAAAATTAA